CGATAGGAATTAAATGCTTGAAGTAGTATTAAAAAGACTTTTTGCTGTTACATGACTGCAGGAATGTGAGGTGACTAAAATTCATTAGACATCAGGAAAGGTAGGAATTTTTACCTTATTTTTATCTTCAGAGGTTGAAGATGAGAAAATGAGATGTCAGAATTCCATTAGAACTTCTGATACGGGTTTTTCTGTTTGATTTTAACAAAACCCTTGTTAGCTTGCTCTCTTAGGAAGAAAATTACAGCATTTTTTATCTCAAGCAGCAAACAGGTAACCTTCTGACCTTTTCAGTAAATCCTCAACTGAACCTCTGAAATTAGGGTGATTTAGCATTTTATGGCACAGAACAAAAATCTCTAATTCTGTTTCCAAATAGTGTGTCCTGAACACACATTTTATTAAGCTCTTGACTCATTCAGCCATGTGTATTTTGTAAAGTTCCTATGGTTATTGTTTTACAATAGCTGCTTCCAGAAGCATTGTAAGGGTTTCAATTAATCAGCTCTTTGTGTGCTTCAGACTATGCAAATTTATCACATCAGACCATTCAGCAGCTCATGGGAAAGCAGTGTACAAACTGTATTGTCTTCTAGCACCTCCTCTCATTTAGAGTGATGTTTTTAATAAGAAAACTAATCAAGTTTACTTATGCATTATTTATCTGTTAATTTTAATTCTGTTCTTTACCTTTTATGTCAAATGGGATGTAGCAAGTGATATGATAGATCAGTGAATGATTCAACATTGAACAAAGCTTATGTGATACAGCACTTTTTTCTTCTGGAGTTGTTTTATACTTAGTTAGCCAGTACAGTATGTAATTAGAGGGCTTTTAAGCAGATGTACGTTTTTGTTTAACCTTATTAATTTTTACAGATCTGTTTGTAACTTGTCCACAATATATGGTGCTATGTTACAGCTGCAACTCCTGTGGATTTTGTGATGTAGTCTAGTTTCTCATAGGAGTATTTACAAATTCTGTCAAGTCTGGTAAATCTAAAATAGACAGCTTTTAAGTTATTTTTAGCTCTTTTACCACTCTATCATTAGAATAAATAAACAAGTACATTTAGTAATGCACTTCTTTTCATCTTGCTGATAGAAACTGGTGTTATTGCTGCAGCTATTCATTTAGTCTCCTTTGCTCTCTAATGTCCCTCCTGCTGGTAGTAATTAGTTTTCTATATTAGGTTGTTTTGGCTTATTTGATTATTTTTTTCATTTGGCATGTATGTATGGAGAAGGTGTTCTCATGTATAGAAAAGGTGTCTTATCATAGCTGGTGAAAAACTTTCCCATACTGTTGTGTTTCCTCCCTGCCCCCTCCCTGCACCCCCCTGCTCCCCCACTGCTGAACTGCTGTTTTACAAGTCTGTATATGTGCAGGTTGACAGCAAACTGTAAAAGCAACTGTACGAAAGATATAATTTCTAGAGACCTGAATTTCTCCTGATTAGAAAAAGCAACTCTTGAAGGACAAAAGTAAAAGGTTTAAGGGATCTTCATACTCTGTCCTTAAATACTGCATGTATACTGGGTCCTGGCTGTGGAAATCCCGTGCAGACTGAGCTGTGTGTGAGGATAGGGGCCATCAGGCATAGGCAGAGGGCTGTCATTAAGTGGCTGGTATACAATACTGTTGAAAAACACTGCTTATGACTGTTTTATACTTGCAAGTAAAACTACCGTAGAAATCCATCTAAATTTGTTCTCATTTAAGCTGTTATCCTTGCAGTAAACTGCCATGCTCATTAATTCACTTTTTTTTGAGAGAGAAATCTTAAAACTATTTGCTACCATTGTAATTAATTTCCCTCTAAGATAACGTTATGAAATTCATAGACAAAGTTTTTTCTAGAATTGGATTTGGTTGTTAATTGTAAAGAAATGAGATTTAGCAAACTACTGCATGCTATCTTGCATCCCTCTTGTTAGTCCACACATTAAAAAAAAAAAAAAACACATTTTGCATTTTTTTGGTTTTGTCCAGAAAAATATTTGCAGCCTCTTCTCATTGTTACTGTTTGATTATTGTACTAGATGACAACTCCAGAGTGTGTAGGTGAGGGTAAATTCTGGCCCGTAGTAGTACAGCATTTAGTCTGAAACTCTATTGCTAAATATCAGGCTGAGCATATGAAAATGTTTGAAGGGGAAGGTGGGGGTCAGTGTGACCAAATAACATTATTTTGTATGTCCTATTTGACTAAAATATGTTCTGGAGAACAGTTTTCATGTGATATCTAAATTAGCAGAGATTAGGAAATCAGTAAAAACTTACAGTAAGAGCTACAGACTCAAGACACCCGCTGAGTGTCCCGCTAAGTTAAGTGGGTCCTGTTAACGAATATTTTACGGAGAATAGTTGGGCAGCTCAGTCATGAAATGCAGATCATACTTGGACAAGGCAAGATTTGGAAATTGAGATTGTCTTAAATCCAGCCTCTTCTTTTTCCCTTTACTATTTCATTAGCCAGTTTCAAGTGATAATTCCACTTATAATGGATTAATTCACTTGATCGCTTTTTCATACGGTCCTCAGTGGCAGCTGCTTGGCAATAAAGTGCTGGTAGACTTGCCTTTTACTGCTCCTGCTGCATGCAAGCCGGAGCTCGACAATTGGGGATGCAAAAAGAGTAGCAAATTCTGGAGCTTACAGTGCAGAGCTGTAAGCAATAGCTAGCCTTTGCAGAGCTTCTGAAGAAAAGCGACTGCAAAACGAAATCAAGTTTAACGTTTGAAACGAATTGCAGTTGCTCGCTTTTAGAAGTAGCGTTGTTTACAGGAGAGGCGTCTGTTTTATGAGAAAGAATGAACTTAAAACATGGTAGGAAGAAACTGTTCTCTGTCCTGCTCTCTAAATATATGTACAAGCTATAGGTCTATTGTATAAACTCAACGACTTCGTAAAATGCAGAAGCTTAGAACTGAGCTTTTATAGCTTTTTTTTTTTTTTTTTTTTTGCTAAAATAGAAACTTTAAAAATGGCCTAGTGAGCTTCACATTGCTGGATTCTATCTAAATATTTTGTTTTTAACTTCTAAGCTCATTATGCTCTCTTTGTGTTAACTTGTATTAAAATCTGTCAGCTATGACTGGTCTCATAACCACAGTCAGCGGACCAGAATAAGTTAATTATTTACTTGTGTCACTAGTGCTCTTCATCTAATGAAATGCACAGCTGTGTTAGATCTGCAGTTGGGTGTGTAGGTCCCATTGTTATACAAGTCAGCGGAGGGTAGAAGCCGCTATGATGGAGAGCCCTCAGTTCTTTCTGCTGTTCTGCCTTTCTGTGTCGATTTCATGGATCTTTTATCATTCACTTTCACACAAAACAAACAACACAGTGGCTGTCTGCTATGGGAACCGTCTTGGCATATAAAAGGTTTTCAGAGCCTAAAGTAATTTTAAGTTAGCTAAGATTTAATTTTTGGCTTACAGGTGCCCTGAAGTCCAGATGCAACCTAATGCTTTCTTAGAAGTAAGTGCGACTGAGGCAAAATATGCAGGCCATAATATATATAAACACACATAAATACATTTTTGTGTATATGTTTTTTTTAGGATAAAAACGCTGTGCACAAGAGAGATTTTCTTTTTTTTTTTTTTTTTTCAGCAAATGATTACTGCTTGGCAGAGAAGGGGAGGAAGATGTTACTGATTTATCGTAATAGAAAAATGAAAGTTCAGTTTGTAATAGGTTTAAAAACTAAATACCAGAAGCCCCTGGACACCCCAGTCCTTTTTTTCTCCTCCCTTCCCCCATACTTACCATTCTCATTCTGTTAACTACTGTCCCATACACCTATCCCTGTCTTGCTTGGACAGTGGAAGAGGCGCTCCCTCCTGAGCAGACGCCGATATCCCCCTGTGAACTGGCTGGTCGGGGGATGCCTTTTTAGGGATGTAACCAGCACCCTCAGTCTTGCAGGAGGCCCCTCTGCTCCAGGACTGTTCCCAAAGCGTGCTCTGGCAGTTGCAGCAGGCTGATCTCAAATAGCTTGCAGGCTTTCTCAGCTCTAAGGGCTTCTGGAAGAAATTGTCCAACTGAAACAGTAGCTTTGCTTCAAAGGAGTATGGGCTTAAGCAGCTGCATTTTAGCACCTGAATTTGAATGTTAGATCTCTCTGTCATTTGTAGCTGCAGTATTTTCATCTGCAGAATTCACTGTAGAAACAGTTGTAAAGGTTGGGAAAGAAAATTCTGTGATGTGTGATAAACGATTTTAAATGGGTCTGGGGCTCTGTTTAATCTTTCCTAAATAGTTCTGGCGTTTGTCTTTTTGTTTGTTTTAAATCCAATAATCTAGTAAGACTGAAAAAAGTTTCTGAGACTTTTAAAGATCTATTTTGTCAGTCCTTGAACACAAACTACAGTAAGCAGTCTGGGGAGCAGATTGTACTTTGTAGTTCGTGAAGGGCAGTCTTCGCTCGATAAATGAATGCTGCCTAAAAAAAACATTTTTTTATATATATTTTTCCCCCCATTCATCTCTCCTCAGGCCCTGCCAAAGTCCTGACTTCATTAATTTGTTTTTATTTACAGTATTTAGCAAAGATGCATATGATAAACAGATATCAAATCAATAATAATTTTAGGTGCCCGAAGAGATGTTGTAAGAGGCTTGATTTTTTTTTTTTTTTTAATTTATTTTTCTTTCAGGCAATCATAGCACCAGCTCTAAAAACTAGGTCTCCTCTGAGGTGTTCCAGACTGGCTGGTCACGAGTTTCTGGTTGCCTCTGAAAACTACCTAAAGCTTCCTTCCCTAATTTGCTAACTCACAAATCACTGGGAGCATTATGTAAGGCTATGCTAATTTTGCCAGTTCTGTCTTCTAGGCTGCAGGTTGTGAGTGCTGGTCATGGTCATGAATCTGGGTAAAAAGTGATCCATGAGAGAGAGAGGAGGAAGAAAACACTACAGAAAATCTGGTGATAAGCGTCAGCCCTGCTGGTGGTTTGCTGTTTGTGAATTGAAATGTTTTCTCTTCTGCAGGGGTGTGTGGACTGATTGTTCCTCAGGAGGACATGCCATTTTGTGATACAGGAATCTGTCCAGATATCATAATGAACCCTCATGGCTTCCCATCACGTATGACGGTCAGTGGTTACGTTATGATTAAAGGGGCAGTGTCCCTCCGTAGAGCAAGTGGAGGGGATTAGCCAGAAGAAATTAAAAGAAGTTTGAAATGCACAGTTGCTCTGAAAATATTCTCCAGTCATCATGCCATGTGCTTTTGCTCTCTTAGGAGTATTCAGCAATCTGTTTTGTATGATTCAAAACATCCTAATATAAAAGGAATAGGGATGTGGGCTGTTTGTTCATCACATTCGTGTCGTTCTGCGTTAAACTAGTACTTCAGTTGTATTCTTTCCACGTGAAAGTTTCTTTCTCTCCCTCCTTGTTCTGTATTGACCATGTTGCTGTACTATTAAGCAGATTGGGGCAAATTGCATGAGGTGCAGGGTGGAAAGGAGTTTTAATGCAGTTCTAGAGCTGCATAACTTCTTAACGTTACATACTATTGCCTGGAATTAATGCAAGTGTTTGTACCTGTACTGCAGAGTCGCACTAAATACATCACAGCTTGGCCTTTATGTGGAACTTCTGTTTTTTTCATATAGTCTCTGATCTTTTTTTCTTCGTTAGCTTTTCCCTTTTTGTTCCCCCTTGTGCTGTCTAGCATGTCAATCTTTGGAGAGCAGAAGGCCACACCGGATCCTGCTCACTGTCCAGGATGGGGTTGCCTAACTCTGGACCTTGAAGAGGTTTCCAGACCCTGCCATGTGTCTGGTTTTCGCTCCTTCACACAAGAGCGCTCCCTGTTCTCCTTGGGTTTTCTCCGCTCCTCCCACTGCGTGCGGTAGCCCAGGCTGCCATCGCCCAGGCGCTTTGCGTTGCTAACTTGTGCTGTAACTGATCCAGAGGTGTGCCGAGCAGGCTGATGCCTTCCCACCCTGCCAGGTGCACGTGCACTCTGTGTTCAGCTGCATCTCTTTGGCCAGGCCAGCAGGTAACAGCGCATCCTGCCCCTGGGCTGCTAGGCAGGCTTCGGGGGCCATGTCCTGGGCAGGGCTAGAGCAGGGGCCTCGGCAAGAGGGCGAGGAACGAGCAAGTTTTTCCCCACTGGAATAGGTGCTGCAGCCATGTGGAGGATGGTACGTTTTTCAAGTCCAGGAGCTGTTTGACAAGGGAGAGGTGCGAGGAGAGGAAGGTAGCGCTCCCTGTTAACTCTGTTTGTCTTTGCGCAGGTAGGAAAGTTAATTGAACTCTTGGCTGGAAAGGCTGGGGTCCTAGATGGCAGATTTCACTACGGAACAGCTTTTGGAGGCAGTAAAGTTAAGGATGTGTGCGAAGATCTTATTCGCCATGGTTATAACTACCTAGGGAAGGACTACGTAACATCTGGTATCACTGGGTAAGAATCTACTGCATCATTTTAAATGTTTCAGGGGAGTGCGAAAATCCTGTTGAGACACATCTGAAAAATCTTCTTATGCCTCAGAGCTCAGGAACTTTCTCTTACTGACAAGCTGCTCTGTGAGATGGAGTGAAGGGGCTAAAAAAGGGGCACTTCTCTCTCTCCTTTTCCACATTTTAAGAATTATTGGTATTTTTTGCATGACTGCAATATGTGAATTGCCCTCATAATACATATCAAAATCTCACAACTTCTGCTTCATGGAAAAAAAAAATAAAATCGAGGTTTTCTTTTTGAGAGATTGTAAATAATGTCAAGTTTCTGTTGGAAGTAATTTTTATATACACTGCCAATCAGATTAGCTTTTTCTTACTGACTATTAAGAGGACTGTAAAATACGAATTTGGAGGCAGGTGTCTGTTCCTTGGGAATATTTTGTGTGCGCCTTTTTTTTTTTTTTTTTCCCGCCTTCCACTGATTACACAATGATTCAGTCTGGCATAATACTCTTAATCTGCAAACTTCCTGCTGTGTTGATCAGACTGGCTTCTGAGACATGGAGTTCAAAGAACGTAAGATAGTTTAGGAACAGGAAAAGGCCATATGGCTCCACATGCCT